CCTGAATTACCCATATCTATTTCACTGGTTGGCCAGCAGCATAACCGATTACAATCGTTATTCGTTAATAGTCTCCAATCGAATTGGTTATGAGAAAATTTAATTTGTAAAATTCATATATAGTTATATATAATTTTATGTATAGCTTAATATTTCATTACCAATAAGTTGGATAATCACCTGTGGTGTCCACAATTAATATCAGGATATTCACTCTTTATAATTATCCCTCCATCTCTCCTAATTTGCGTATTTCCTATGCTGTTTCTTTTTTACCATCCTGATCGTTCTTTATCTTTCGGGATTTTCAGTCGAAACACTTGTGATTTTTCTGGTCAATCCATTGGTCCGGCACCTGATAGTCGTCTACTAGTGATAACTCAGGAAGGCATGACGGTAGGCGATGTAGAGCATCTTTTGGCTCGTTCAGACGTTAAAGGTTTCCCTGTCGTTGTTTCTAAGGCGTCACAATACCTGGTCGGATGGGTGACAAGACGCGATCTGATCTGGGCACTAGGTAATCCTTCACTGATTTTTCATTAAATTAGCATTCGTTGACTTTTATTAACTCCACGTCTGTGACAAATTCGTATGCATTTATGCTTTCTACAAATATTTGTGCCTCCTTTTTTCTGATATTTCTCTAAGGGTAAATGTGAAATTTTCCTTAATCTAATAGAGCCTTAATTGTTGTCAACTTCTATGCTATCTTGCATATCGAACAAATAAGAATCTCCTGCCTTCATTATTATTTGTGCTCATCATCATACTTCATGATGTGGTCCTCCTCAATGAATGAACTGAACCTGCTAGACTTTATTTTACGTAACCTGCAACAATATTGCCAAGTTAAAGTGAGTAGTCAAGCAACTTATCATCTTTACCCTCAATCCATTACATTGTTCCAAGAATTCTTTAGAAGGATATTTCACCATACATTTTTTTAATGCTTTTACCCCATGACAAAATTTTACATTCCTATATTTGATTTTTTGAATACTCTTTCGTTTAATTTAGTATTATTAAAACCCTTAAAATTATTGTACCTGATTTCAGAGCAAGAACGACAGTTTGATGAATCGATTTCCGCCACCACTTCTCTATATTTTATTGAAAACTTCGCGTTCTCTGACTTCCTTGAATCGGAGCATTCTTATCCAGTTCCACTTAACCTACGAAGCATAGTAGATCTAGTAAGTGTTTTCACAATACTACTTATATCATGTTTTTTACTTGGAAATCTTACATTTTAGAAATGATGTGTTCACTGTATGAACCTTCATTTTCTATACTAGCATGTGCATATTTATCTACCACTATATAAATGATTATCATGCACTATCACTCTTCCTCCACGTTGTCCAAAATTTAATTAAATTGATGTATTTCTCGACTATCGTTTGCTTTTTCAAGTCGAATCTCTAGCAATAACTTACATTATCTCTCTTCT